TCATGATTCCTAGGTAGTATTTAATGTTTTTTTAAAGTTATCATAAATGGGATTGTTTTCCTGATTTCTCAATGGCTTTATTGTTAGTGTATAGGAATATATATTTTTGCATATTGTATTTGTATCTTGTCACTTGGCTGAATTGATTAGTTTCTAAGAGTCTTCTGAAGTTTTTTTTATCTTCTATATAAAGAATCATATCATCTGCAAACAGATAAAACATTTATTTATTTATTTATTTATCTATTTATTTTGGTGCAGGGGATTGAACTCACGTCCTCACACTTGTGAAGCAGGAAGTGGAACCACTGAGCTAAATCCCATGCCCCAGAGATAAAACTTAGAATCTTTGGATCTAAAAAACCTAGAATCTTTGGAACCTATAGCTTAGTAAAGAATTTTTGGACCATGACATCATGAAAAGCTTACTCCATAAAGGAAAAATGTAATAAACTGTACTCCAAATTTGAAAACTTTGGTAATGCATAAGTCTAAAAAGAGGAAGAAAAGACAAATATAGACTGGAAAAAATTTGCAGGCAGGTATGTAGAATATACAGAAAAATTCTTAAATCCATTAAAAAGAACCTGAATTCAACAGTAAGAAGACAATCCAGTTATAAAATGGACAAAAACCATGAACAAATATTTCATTGCAAAGAAGATGCAGATGAAAGAGAAACACATAAAAAGGTGTTCAGTATCATTAACTATTAGAAAATCAAAGTAAGGTCACTGTGAGATATCATTATACAAATTACAGCAGCTAAAAATAGCAATAATACTAACTGCTGGCAAGCATCTGTCTTACATTGCTGGTTAGAATATAAAATGGTACAATTGTTCTGGAAAATATTTTGAGTTTCTTACAAAACTAAGCATATAACAAACATATGTCCCTGCAATGACCCAAAGCAATAGAACCTTAACATAAAAATGTGTACACAAAAGTTCATAGCATTATTTGTAATAACAAAGTACTAGAAACAACCCAAAGGCCCTTCAGTGAGTTAGTGGGTGAGCATTTCTGGTATACTCATACACTGTGATATTGCTCAGCAAGAGAAGTGAACTATTTGTATATACATAACTTGGGTGAATCTGAAAGGTTTAGTGTCAGAAAATCATGCTGTACATTGCTTTTTATCTCACATGAAAAAGACAAAACTTTGAGGATAAAGAACAGATCAAGAGTTGTCAGAAGTTGGGAGGGAGGGAGGGTGTGGTACAAAGCTGTAGCACTAGCAAGTTCTGGGTTTGTATGGGGGTGATAGAACCACTCTGTGTCCTTATAGTTATGGTGCATCATTAATTTACATGTGTTAAAATGCACAGAACTATACAACAATAAGTAAATTTTATTTCATGCTATTATGGGTGGAGCTTTTTCAGAGGTGGCTGGATCTAGAATGTGTGACACTGGAATTGATTCACAGTGCAGTGTTAGGATCGAGGACACTGTATTAAGGATGTGAATGTTACCTGCCCTGGGTAGTGTGAATAAGGTATGAGATGGAAAGAGCTGTGGTCATCCCTTGTTGTTTTGCTACCTTCTACCCACCATGAACTGTTTCTGTGCAATGCATGTCTGCCATCACACCGTCCTTGGAGCCAGCCAATTATGAACTGAAACCTCTACAGACTGTATAAACTGGGCTTGGTGGTACACGCCTGTAATTTCAGCACTCAGGAGGATGATGCAGGAGGATCACTGTGAGTTTGAGGCCATCCTGAAATATAGAATGAGACCCTGTCTTGGGGCAGGGGAGACAAACTTCTACAGACTGTGAGCTAAATACTGGGAACTACAGACTGTGAGCTTTCTTCCTTTTGTGGGCATTAGGTCTTTTGTCTCAGCAGTGAGAGAAAAGTAACCAAGACAGAATTTGGTACTAGAAGTGGAGTCATTGCTGTGACTGTACCTGACCATGTGGTTTAGGTGCCTATGGAGATGGCTTGTGAGAAGAGTTTGGAAAGGTTTGGAGATGCCAGCTGAAAAAGTAGAGCTGGATGCTTTAGGCTGTACTTGATGACAGTCACAGCCCAGAAGACCAGAATGCTGACAGAAATGATGCCCAGTAAAGAACAGGTTTGGGAGGTTTCTGTGGGGAAGAAGAAATGCATTGACTCTTGGACTCCAGCCAATGTATGCTATGCCTTGGCAAAAAGTTTGTCAGCATTTTGCTCATGTCCAGAGACTGCCTAAGACTGAGGTTTTAAGGGCTGCAGACTTATTAATCTTGCAGAAGAAATTACAAGGCAGTCTAATGTTGAGGCCATGGCATTGCTACTGTTAGGGGTTTTAGCTGGATTTATGTTGAGAATCAAGAGCAAAGAGCCCAGCAGAATGATTTAAAACATTTTGAGTTTGGACAGAAAGGAAACTCCAGTAAAGCTGTGGACTGCAGAAATAAAGCAGAGGAGATCTTGATTGCTGAGAAGTACCAAGAGAATAGAAAAGATGGCCTGAGGGCATCACAAGAAACAGCAGGACTCTACCCTTTGCAGCCTCAAAATTGCAAAAGTGAAAGACTTTCCTTTGAGAAGAGAGCCCCAGAGCACATGTTCTAGAATGGTGGCAGCCTAGGGACATTATTCCGTAGGATTTTGTCCATAGGCATTGGACCTCCAGAGCCAAGAGAAGGAAGCCTGGCTACTGTTCCAGCTGGCAGCAGACCTTGGTGCCATTCACGTGGGGTTGGTTTTCGGTGCATGAAAAATACAAGAGTTGTGGGGTAAGGAAGGCTTCCACTCAGATTTCAGAAGGAGACCTGGGAGACCAGGCAGTATGCCCCTGACGGAGGAGTTTGTGAGGCTGTAAGTGTGAAGTCAGAGGTGCAGTGGAGACCATAGAAGGCTGGAGAAACCAGGAAAATGGATTGTCCAACAAAAGCTGTAAGGAGTGAGCAAAGCCAGCCCAAGAAGCCACAGGAGCTACACCAGAATTGCTTTAGGGTTGGAACCACCCAAGCCCTTTGGAGTTCACAACTTGTCACAGATTGCCAGGGATGCTGGAATTGGAACTGTGGGATTTAAAGTTGGCTCTGTTGGATTTCGGTCTTGCTTTGTTCCCATTCTTTGTTCCCATTCCTTGTTATCCCCTTGTTTGGAACGTTTGGAATGTTTGGAATGGCACACCTATCTTGCACCATGGAATGCTGAAAGTGTTTACCTTTCTTTTCATTTGTACAGGGGCCTGCAGCTAATCTCAGAGGAGACTTTGGACTTGAACTTTTCAGCAGTGCTGAAACTGTTAGGACTTTGGCAACTCTTAGAAATGGACTAAATGCTTTTTGCATAAATGGATGTGCCTGAGACTTGGGGAGACCAGGAGCGCAATGTTACGGCTAGTGTCTAGCCAAAGCTTCATGCAGTCATAGGTGGGCTTTCTCAGAGGTGGCTGAATCTAGAATGTGTGATGCTGGGATCAATTCAGGGCACTAGGATTAAGGGTGTGAGTGCTACCTGCTCAGTTGCCTGGATAAGATATAAAGGATAGAAAGAGCTGTGGTCCTCCCTTGTTGTTTTGCTACCTTCTACCTGCTATGAACTGTTTCTCCTCCGAGATGCTTACCTGCTGTGCCTCTCTGCCTTGGAACCAGCCAATTATTGACTGAAATCTCTGTAGACTGTGACCTAAAAAAGCCTTTCTTCCCTTTGTGGATTTTGGGTATTTTCTCTCAGCAATGAGAGAAAAGTAACCAAGACACATGTTAACTCGAAAAGAAAATGCGGTTTTGACTTACATTTCCTCTGTGGCTCCCCTGCCCTTGGACCTCTTTGCTTTCCTCATTTGCACACTGTCTTGCTACCAGCCAGAATGCATACTGTGCCCCTGGCCTACAGACTCTGTTCCCTATCCCTCAGCCCCTTCCCTCGCCCTATCTCCCTTAGGTCTGCTTACCCTTCAGGAAAGCCTTACTGAGAGGCCCCCTGCCTAGATCAGATGTTTCTTCCAAGATTTTTGCTCTGCTCCCTAGTCTGGCCCCTTGCACACCACAACATTGTGATTATTGTGAGCATGGGCTTCCCTGAGCCTTGTGGTCTCCATTTGTCTATCTGCTGGGGCTTTGATATTCAGCCTCCTAGGGTCCTTCCAACTCAAAGACTTCTGTCATTCACAGAGAGGTGTTTTGCAGTCTTTGGCCTCATTTTTCTCCATTGCAAAGTGGGCTTAATAGTAGAACCTCCTCTTAGGGGTGTTTTGAGGATTCTCGTGGGTAACACATGAAAAGATCTTGGAACACCCAGCTTGACAAATAATAAAAGTTAGCGGTATTTATTGTTAATAGCCATTTTGGCTGGTTTAAAATAATACAGGTTCCCAGGTTCCCTGCCCTACTAAAACTGAGTAAGAGTAACATTGTAAGGGGAAGCTATATTTTTAAAAAACTCTTTCAGTAGATTGGCCATATTCAGCAAATAAAAATATGCTACCAAGTTTAATTTGAGCTTCAAATATACCACAGATAAGGTTTTACTAAAAATTGTTTATTGTAATTCAGATGTAATAGACATCCTGTATTTTACCTGCCTACATTAATCCTGTCCTGGAGGGCTTTGATACCTGGCCTACCTGGAGGTCCCGCTGCCGACCCTCCAGTCCAAAAGATAAACCTCCTAGGGAGAAAATCGAGAGTATCCTTTCATTTGACACAGGGGGGCGCTAGAAGATGCTATCTTTGCTTTCTTTGCTCCTAAATGGATGTTAAGGGAGCACCAGCTGGTTGGCTGACTTTGAGCCTGCTGCTCAGTATTTGTGAGTCACCTTCAGGAGATTTAAGTCTGCTTTGAAAGGGGGAGTCTCGGGGAGACTAACATTTTGACACAGAGCTGGCCACTTCTCTCTCCTGGGGCTTCATTTCCAGGGCATCTTAATGTGGTCTGTTTCTCCCGCTTCGCTCCCCCAGACTGCCCTGTCCCCACCTTGATGTCATAGTCCTATTCTGATATCACAGCCCAGCACATGGAATTATCTCAGGCAGCCCACAGTCTGCCTTTAGTGCAACCAAAGCAGGTGATTGAGCCCCAGGGGCTGATCCTAAGAACATCTGGGCAGCTTGCCATCCTGTTGCTCTAAAATGAAAATCATGTGAAAGGTAGGACTTGGAAGGATTTCTTCCTGTTCCCGACGGCTGCAGTCCCCTGGGGTGGAAACAAATTCCCAGGGCGTGTGCAGTTGTTCTGGTTCTGTAAACCGCTCTTGGAAAGCCACTGCCCATGTGAGGGTGCTTGTGGCCTGGATCACCACTCAGCAGGTCTCTGTTCTCATTGAAGGGGTGGCTTCCCAGGGTGCAGTGTTCCTTGTGTGCTAGGAGGAGAAGCCATCCCTTCCTGCTTGGAGGACGCCTGCAGGTATCGATCCAGGGCGAGTTCTTCTGTGGCCCCCACTTCAGTGTTGGGGGACAGGGATGTGCTCTTCCATGGTCAAACCAGTAACTCTCGGAACCCTCAATGCTAGGAGATGCCCCATTCACCTAGCTGGTGGGAAAGTATAAAGAGGTCTCTTAAGAGCTCATTAAGTTCTTAACAAAAACAAACAAAACCCCAAACTGCCATAAATTAAGCGATATAACAACCGCAACAACAAAATCACGGATAACTTCTTACTTTGCTGGGCGCAGTGCCTCCCTGGTGCACATTGGAGCTGCGGATTCTCAGAGGAGGGCCACTGAAATTCTTATCTGATGGTCGGATGGCACCCAGGAACCCCCATAGCACATGGCTCTTAGCATCCACATCAGCAAAGGGCAGAGCTACCCAGAGGTAGCATAGAAGGTGCTCAGAGTCCTGTAGGAGCTGTAAGTCGTTAGGTTTAGATGTGACCCGTAACCTAGAGATGACTGTGGCTTACCCCCGGGGGGCCCATATAAATCAGTGCTAACTGGAAAAGGCTCAGGGTAAATGGGTCAACAGCAAGCTTGAAAGGATATGCAGAATTCAAAGGAGGGAGATGTTTGGTTCTAAGAGAAATAAGTTGGATTTTTAGTGACAGGTAGCATTTGTTCTGACCTAGCTCCTCTTCATAGAAGCTCAGCTTGCAAGCCAAGCTCAGGAGTCAGACCAGATGTGGCCCCCTTATTTCAGGAGAAAAGAAGGATATATAGATATAGATATAGATATAGATATAGAGATAGAGATAGATATAGATATAGATATAGATACACACACATATATATGTGTATATCTATATCTATATCTATATCTATCTCTATCTCTATATCTATATCTATATCTATAAATTGGGGGGTGATAGCAATGTTCTTATGAAGAGGACAGAGCATAATGAAAGTAATTATCTACATTTGATACTTTCTTACCATTTCTGTAGCGTAAGCATTATTTTCCTGTCAAGGCAATTGCCTTGATTACTAATTGCTTACTAATTGCTTCCTTTGTATCTTAGAGGCATAATAGCACTTTCCTTTGGCATTTTCAGGTTTGAAAGGCTTCCGTTTATGGTAATTTAGTCGTTAACCTGCATGGGGACACAGGCTGTGACGCAGGTGACGCCTTTGGCCCGCTCTGTCCCTGATTTCCCAGGCAGAGGGCCCAGGAGGCCAGGCCAGAACACTCGACTCACCCAGAAGTAAGCAGGACTATGTGTTTTCCTTGGTACCTCCTTACTTCACTTTACTGGGTTAAGCTTTGACTGGAAATAAACCTTGCAAGGTTCTGGGCTGAATATTCTGGGCTATAGAACTGGAAGGCTGGGTTCTGAGTCTCAGTTGCTTGGTGGTATGAACTGATGTGGGTTAATGAGAGGTTGCACAATTTGGGATCCTAGCTTTGCCCTTGAGTTTCTATAAGACTTTGGATGAGGCCTCAATTTCTCTGTCCATCCAAGGGAAGAAGAGTGTCTCTCATGACATGGTCTTCAAGGTAAATAACAAGAACAAAATAAAATAATGCAAAGCAACTTTAGGTGCAAGAGAACCGTGTAGAACAGCTTACAAATGCAAGTAATTGGCACAGTCCCTGGCTCTTCATCTGGGGTCCTTAGTTGACAGGATTTTTGTGTGTTTTGATCCTGTGCATGTGGGGTACTTCCTAAGTATGATGGAAATACCTGTACAGAAAGGGATCTTTACAGTTTTTAGGGGTGGTGCTGGGGATTGAACCCAGAGTTTTACATCTGCTGGGCAAGTGCTCTACCACAAGCCACATCTCCAGCCCTTTCTTGTTTCTTATTTTGAGACGGGGTCTAAGTTGCCCAGGCTGGCCTTGAATTTGTGCCTCAAATTATGCCTCAGCCTCCAGGGTAGCTGGGATTACAGGCCTGTGCCACCGTGCCTAGCTAATTTTTAAAAATTATTTTTTCATAAGTTTTCTGTCCAGGGTCAGTTGGGGGCAGGGAACAGAAATCCACTCCTTCTGGTTTAACTGCAAGTAGGAGTTATGCTCAGGATACTGGAAGTAGAGCATCCTTCAGGGACAAATTAGGTAGGCAGCTGCTTTCTCCAACTCTCCTATTTCTGGCCCTCTTCCAGAGTGAACTCTGTGTCCCTTCCCCCTTCGGACTGGCTGTTTTCTTCTTCCATAGCTCTGTCCTGCAGGTGGGCCTGACCTCCCCTGCTTGTCCCCAGAATGGTGGCTGTTGTCTCTGCACCCCAGTTTCAGATTCTTGAGTTACAGGTTCCAGTATAGCTTGGAGCAGGTACCCATCCGCGTATGAATGTGGCCAGAGCAGGGCAGGGTCACGCCTGAAGGGCTGCCTGAGAATGTGTAAGGGGGAACATCAAATCTTTATCCTTCTTCCCTGGTCTCTTCCAGGGATCTTTCCTTGACCACTTCTGGCCCTCACAACTACCCCCGGGAGCTGGAGCAGGAAAGAGGACAGGAGAGCAGGCAGCTGCTGTGTGGCCAGGGAATTATGTTGAGTTTTGGCAAGAGACCAGGGTGACTGGCAGGTAGGTACAACCACAGAGTGTGGGAGCACATTGCTGGGGACAGGACAGTTTCCCCAGAGGCAGAGGCAGGGTACTTGGAAGCTTCTGCAGGCCACTCTCAGGAAGGGTGAGGGCTTTGTGAGCACAGCACAGCAGCTGCCTCGTCCACCTGTGGCCTGCTGGGCATAATGGCACCAGCAGCTCAGAGCCTCTGGCTGGTGCAAGCTGTTCTCTGGAGGGGCTGCCTGCCACTGGGGGTGCTCAGGAGTGGGCTTTGTGGTGGCCTCCTTCCCTTGTCAGCCTAGGCAGCATCCCTTGATCCATGGTCTGGTGGTCTCTGATAAAGAACGTCTGTTGGAAAAATGGGCTCCCCTGCGAAATTTGAAAAAACTCACACACATCAGTCCAGGACTTTCCCCTGAGCTTTGGATGAGCTCTAGAAACCGAGGTTGAGCCTGATGGTGGCAAAGTTGGGGCAAAGTATAGGGTGTGGCTATTTTCAGGACATCCCCAATTTTAATCCCCTCCCTCACTGCCCTTATCTATTTATCTTTATCTGTAACAGGTGCAACAGACTGAGTAATTTATAAGGGATAAAAGTGTATTCTCATCACTTTTGTTTTTTGGTATTGGGGATCGAACTCAGGTCCTTGTGCTTGTGAGGCAGGTGATGGAACCACTCAGGTAAATCCCTGGTGATAAAAGTTTATTCTGTTCACAGTTCTGGAGGATAGGAAGTTCAGGACGCGGTAGGCATATCTGTTGAAGACCTTGCTGGTGAGCACTTTCTGCAGAGAGCTCAGGCTATTACATAGCAAGTCAGATGTCCTAAGGGCCAGTGGTGCCCCACCTGCCTCACAAGTGCAAGGTCCTGAGATTTGATATTTAACTATGTCTGACTTATTTCAATTAAAATGATGGTCTCAGGTTCTGCCTGCAAATGACATGATTTCATTCTTCTTTATGATGGTACAATATGTATGTATTACATGTTATATGTATATGTAATTCCACACTTTTTATCCATTCATCTGTTGATGGGCATTTAGGTTGTTTCCAAAGATTAGCTATTGTGAATTGCACTGCTATAGACACAAGTATATATATATGTGTATTGCTTTAATATGATGTCTTTTGGGAATATACCCAGGAGAGGTATAGCTGGGTCAAGTGGAATGAAATTATAATTCTTTAATATCATTACCTATTCAAATATCTGATTATAATGTCATTAGATTTAATTAGCCGAATATATCGTAATATACTTAAATAGCTTTGAAACATTTGAGTTTATAGTGTTTTCTGTTTTCAAAAAGGCATGGGGACAAGTATTTTTATGTGCACACTCCTTTCCTTCCTTCCTTCCTTCCTTTCTTTTTCTGCATCGGTGCGATTGTTTCCTAAGGGTATATTCTAGGAAAAAGGATTGCTGTGTGAAGTGCATGCTTCACATTTGGATACTGTTATGGAATTATCTTCAGTCACATTTTATCTTTACTTCCCTAACCCCCCCCCAAAAAAAAACTGCACAGCTTGGGAAAGGGAAGGTCCTCTCTGGAAATACTTACATGTTCATCCTTTCCTCTCGCTCCTATGGGAGCAATACTGCTATTCCATCTGTACGTGATGCCACATCCCACTGGGGTTTCCCAGGTGCAGACACAGCTCAGGGCTATCAGCGGATAACCAGATGCTGGAGAAAAATGCTGCAGCACCTGCAGTGACAGTCCAGACAGCTCTTCTTCCAAGGGAAGGTGTGGAGCTGGTAGGTGGAAATCAATACTCAGTCTTTTGGGGAAGAGGAAGCTAACAGATGAGAAAAATTATTATCTTCTGTTCTCTTAAACTTGACTCCCTATGCTAGTAAACTCAGTACCAGTGGCATTGAAGGGATTTTAAAGAGGAAACGGAAACATCGCCCAGATCCCAGCCATTGCTCTCCTTGGCTCTGTTCATAGCACACACATTCACATGCCACTTGACAGCATAGTTATCGGGCTGCGTTTTCTCCTGTCCCTGGGCATTTGGACATCAGTGTTTCAGGCTGCGCTGCTGTTTTGTTGTCATTGTTCTTTGTTTTTTATTTTGAAACTATATCTGACTGAGCTGCTGCAACTGAGCTCAGACTTGAGATTCCCTTGCTCAGCCTCCCAGAGTGCTGTGATTATAGGTGTGCACCACTATGCCCAGCTGCTCTCTGCAGTCCTTGTTGTCATGCTTTATGCTTGCTTCTGTTCCTCGTTGAGATCCTACCCCAAATTTTCTTCCCTCGATGTCTGCAGTTGGATACTTGAGCAGCTTGTACTCGGGACCTGTCACAAATATCACCCCACATTACCATGCCCGTGGTTTGTAGCCCCCTCTTGCTTCTGTAGTAGTTTCCTAGGAAAATCACCCCGGTGTGAATGGGATTGTCCCGTTGCCCAGTTGTTGTGTGAAAATGGGTATGAATGCCTCCTTAGGAGGGCAAAAGAGAGTTCCTACAGAATGGGGAGGAAGCATTAGAAGTTCTATTCAACTGACTTCATTTTATCTTCATTCATTTTTATGGATGTTGTACAATATACATAAAATATAAATCAAGTAGTACAACATATGTGTAATCTATAAATGTTTTTCCCGTACATTGTGGGCTCACGACAGGTGTGTAATCATCGCCATTTGAAGAACTGGCTTGTGAGTCCTTCAGAGACCAGCATTACCTACTTACTGTTCCTACCCTGTCCCCACCTCCCAGCACAGTGCTTGGCACAGAGGTACCCTATATACATTTGGCAAATGCTCTCTTGGGTGATCCAGACAGTGCTATCACACAGTGAATGGATAGATGTTGGATACTCAGGACCCGGATACCTTGGCCTTCCTTGCTTTCCTGGAGTGCACTTGTTGCTTTGGAAGCTGGATAGAAGTGACTTGAAGTGACCAGTACCCACATCCTTTGCTCTTCCCTGGGAAGACTCCAGAAAGAAAAGAATCACCTTTTTGGGAAAGTTTCTCCAGTCCTTTCCAAAATGAAGTAGAAATAGAACCGAAAATGCAAAGGAAGGATTCATTCTCATGCTTGAGTTTCAGGGACCCAAAAGAACCCGTAACCCCTGTGGAGGTTGAGTGCTCTGTTCCATGGCAGTGGCTGCTCCTTGTTACCAACCGCAACTCACCTGAAGGATGGCAAACCTTCACCTCCTGCAAAGATCTCAACCAGCTGGGGCAAAGTTTCTCCTGCAAATGGTATCGCTGGCTTCCCATGGCCCATGGGCTGTGTGCTGGCCTCATTATGCAGACAGGGAGTGATGTCTGGCCACTGGTGGGGGTAGAAATGGGGGAACTGAATGGACAGAACAGAAGAAGGTCTGAGCCTTGTGGTCTCAGTAGATTTGCAGTGATTGTCCCCGCTGAAAGATGTGGGCAACGTAAGATTTCTTTATGGACAGTCACTCATTTTTGTCTTCTGTGCATGTCTTCCTTAAAAGAAATTCTTTGTTGAAGTATACTTGATTCCATTAAACTGTCTATTGTTAAAGTATACAAATTGCTAAGTTTTGTGCTCTTGAACTAATCTCCACAATTAATTTATAAGTTCATCATCCCCAAAGTCTCCTCTGCTATTTCATAATTTCTCCCCAGCTCTCCTCTCCTCTCTAGGTAATCAGTAACTTGCTTTCTGGCACAGTCGAATTGTTTGCATTTTCTAGAGCTGCATATAAATGGAATTGCACAGTGTCTACTTTTTCTATTTGGCTTCTTTTACCCGAAACTATCTGGAAATCTTTTTGTGTTGTTGCAGGTATCACTATTTTGTTGTCTTTCATTGCTGAGCAGTGCTCCTGTTATGGCTTGTATCTAGATGTCCCTCCAAGGCCTCACACGGTCATGGGTGGAGCTTCTGGGAGGTGGCTGGATCTAGAGGGTGTGATGTGGGGATGTGATCCTGAGATTGATTCATGGCGCAGTGTTAGGATTAAGGGTGCCCCACCCTGGATGTAAGTGCTACCCGCCCTAAGGGTAAGTAGCCTGGATGAAATATAAGGGACAGCAAGAGAGCTGCTGTTGTTGCAGGGTGTTGCTTGCTGCTTGCTGTTTTTACTGCCTTCTGCCTGCCATGAAGTGTTTATCCTCCATGATGCCCTTTTTCCATACCACCCGGCCTTGGAGACAGCCAATTATAGATTTAAACCTCTACAAACTTTGAGCTGAAATAAACCTTTCCTCCTTTAACTTTGGATGTTGGGTATTTTGTCTTAGCAATGAGAAAAGTAACCAAGACAGCTCCACTTATGGATGCACCCTAACGTGTTTATTCATTTCCTGTTGATGGATGTTTGAGTGGTTTCCAGGTTTTGGGTTTTGTTGTTGTTTTGGTACTCAGGATGGAACTCAGGATCCTTCACTTGCAAGGCAGGCACAGAGCCACTGAGCTAAATCCCCCGCCCTTAAGCTGTCCTTTTTGTTGGGTCAAACATCTATGGGTCAAGTGGCTAGATCATAAAGTAGAGAAGTTTTAAGAAACTGCCAAACTGACTTCCAAAGCGGTTGTACCATTTTACATACCAAATGACAGTGTCAGAGAGTCCTGGATAGGGGAGGTGTAGTCACTCTTTTCAGGACAAGCTGTGAAGTGTTGAACACAGGTTTTTCTAATGATCAGTTACTCATTTCATCTTTTGAATAAGACTATATGTTGTCTTAGGTATTACAGTGTCTTATATGTCTTTTTTGCTTCAAACAGGAAACTTGTACAGTCCCGGCCATCAGTACGCAGATGGAATTCACTGAAGGCAACTCACTTCAGACAAGGGTCTGTGCCTCTTCTGGTCCTCTGGGACATGTAATATCATCTCAGAGGAAGGGAAGCTTGTTCAGAGAGTACACTTATCTAAAGGCAGATGAATAACTCTATAATACTGAAAACACAGTTGCTCCCCAGGTCATATAAAATCTTGCCATTGGGAATGTCTGCAGAAGAATGCAACTCATGGAGATTTCTTGGAAATAGAAAAACCCTATAGCACCTTGGTGCAAAATATAACTTTTCTCAAACTGATGCCACTTTCAGTATTGTTCTTTGGCACCAGAAATTTCCCAGGGCAGTGTTAACCAGACAATGCCAGAGAAGAGAGCCTGGGTCTCAGAACTGTCCACTATAATCACATGAGGCTGCGTTAATTGAAGATTGCTTTCAACTTATGAATATCTGAAGAATTAATCCCACACAGAGAATTTAGAAGCAGAACGGCCTTTTCAGAATTAGCACAGGTTTCTAAGATTCCGTCCTTGGTGGGTTATCTCACAGAGCAAAGTCTCTAACTACTTATTAAAATACTGTAGGTCCAAATCCTAACTTTTCATTCTTATCAAACATATTTTTATATGTATGGTAGTTCACTTAGTGACAAAGATGCCATTCAAAGTGTTTGGGAAAGAAGGGACCAAGTTCAACAAGTGCATTCATATCCTCTCAGAATTTGTTTTTGTGTTACTTGTGAGGCAGGCATTTAGTTAGTTTTTATGGTTTCCAGAAGTATATCTGATTTTCTCAGTAGCATTCTGTTTCTAAACACACCATTCTCTATTGATGTTGTTATAAGTTTCTGTGCCTTTACCTCATAATTTAATTGTCACAACCTTACAGCATATTTTGATAGCTGGTAGGGTAAATCCTCCCTTATTATTCTTTAACGTAAAAATTTTGTTGGAGATTCTCTTCCCCATACATTTAGAATCAGCTTAAAGTTTATTAAATATACCCATTGGGGTTTTGTTTGGTGTTACACATTAATTGTAGATTATTATTATTTCCTCTCTACCATGTAACGTGCAGACCATGTTTGGGAGCAGCTAGTGCATAGCACACATTAGTGTCTAACTTTTTTGATTTGGAAAATTGCTTTCTTGCTAAATTTAATAGAAGTTACTATGTTTTAAGTCAGTTCATATTTACAATAAATATTTATTTTGAAAAAATTAATATTGTATATTTTTCTGTGCCAGACAGTGTTAGCAGGGAGTAATCAATGAGAAACAAAGGGGACCTTACTGCTCCCGGGGACCTCACTGCCTGCTAGTGGTAAGGAGGCAGGCAAACGGCCAGAAATTATGGTTGTTGGGGTAGTGTGCCTGATGTTGTACCGTGGAAAGGGATGCTCAAGAAGAGGTGTCTAGGGCAGAGATGGTGATCCAGGAAGGCAGGAGGTAATGTAGAAGGCTGAGACCCAAGGTGAAGGAGGAAGTAGCCTAGAGACGGTGGGTAGAGCATCTGTGTAGTGAAAGTGAAGCCTAGGGAAGAAAAGAGCTAAAGACACTAAGGATGGCAGGAGCGGAAGGCAGTAAAACAGAGCTGGGGTGTCCCAAGATGAAGCTGTAGCTGGCAGAGGCCAAATCATGTATTAGGAAAGGCTGTACCAGCCACATTCCCTGCTGGTTCCCACGGGTCTCAGGAGCCTGGGGAGGATGTGAGGCCGGAGCCTGCAAGTCTTAACTTTATTTCTCCAGCTTCCGGTAGGGAATGCAGCAGAACGAGGCAGGATAGAAGCTGAGGGGCATGTGGATCTGACTGACAAAAGGCAGTGTCAGAGCTTGTCACAGTGAGGAAGGAGCACTTCGGGGGCAGCGCTAGGCTCTGTTACCTAGTCTGTTCCGCAGGGTGTCTGCGGTACCGGACACCAGCGAACTGGCTAGGGTCTTGTGAGTGTTCCTTACGGCCATGTGACCCGGAACAAGTGGCCCGGCCCATTTCTCTCTCGCGCCAGTCTCGGTCCTACCTGAAGAATCAAGCTGTGCCAGAGAGGTGCAGTGTCCGCACCGTGCTCGGCCTGTGTGTTGTCAGGAACAAGCGGATGGCAGTGTTGCTGGCGCTGATGCAGGCAGTTTGAGCAGTGGCAGAGTGTCCTCTTCTGCTAAGTAGGAAAGGGAGTGCGGACTAACTCTATCTCCATCATTTTGTTTTCTTAAAATGGGGTCTCACTCTGTTGCCTAGGCTGGCCTTGAACTCTTGGCCTCAGCAATCCTGCCTCATCTTCCCAAATAGCTGGTACTATAGGCGTGTGCCACCACACCCAGCATCCCTCTCTTTTTGTATACCACTTCTCCCAGTGTCCTGTTAATCCTCTGAAATTGCTGCTGAGACACTGGGCACAGAATCCACCCCTGTTCCCACGGAAGATTTTCCTCCAACGAGAATCCATCACTAGATACAATGCAGCCCTCTGTAACATGGGGAGCTAATTGGGACAGCTTGTGTAGCTCCCCTTTCATTTGAGGCTGTATCAGTCAGTGCTCACCACAGAAACTGAAGTCTTCCCTCTTCACTTAGTCCAGTCACACCCAGAACTGTGCTAAAGCCGATCAGTTGGGTGTTTCTTACTCAAGTCAACACAACAGTTAATTATCATAGAGGCCTTCAGTCATTTGACCAAAACGTGCTCTAGGATGACTGTCAAACCAGCCAAGGCCTTTTGTGTGATTTAATCTGACAGATTCAAAGAGGAGCATAAAATGATTTTGCTCTGGTTCAGATTTGCAGAGCCCTTGCGATTACATGCCTCCTTTCCGGGAAAATCAAATCATCCGTGTAGCTCCAGTGTAATGAGTCTCTAATGCCAGTAACTATGTTAATTAATAAGTTGTTAAGTGTTAGCTTTCGATCAGGGCTTCATTGTGGGTGAATCACTTATTTGTAATAGCTTTGGATTAATTTACATGTGATATAATAAAAGGGCAAAAAATTGCTTGGAAGTAGCCTATTTACAGTATGCCCAAATTTACCTGTTAACCATTTCTGAGCCCATGTCCATAGTGTAAGGAATGATTTCACTTTCCAGACTACCTCCCCTCAAAAAAAAGAAAAAGAAAAAGAAAGAAATTGGAATCCAGAGAAAGCAAAAGCGAAGCTTTTAATCCAAACTTTGGCAAGAGTGACATCTGTACAAAGACAGGTAACTCCAGTTGAGAAGCTGTGTGTTTTCATTCCTAATTCACAGGAGTCCCTTCCCCCATCTCCCATGCCTGGATTCCAGGGCTTATAGTCTATCTTGAGCAACTGATTTTATCCCGTACCTCTTTTTCTCCCCTAACCCCAGCCCTTTCTCTTCTTATCCCCGCCTCTCTGTAGTTATTTTTAGCATATTGGTTTCCCACTATTCGAGAAGACTCTTATCTCTGGAGTTTTTGCACTTCCTTGTCCCCTAGTTGACTAAGTTAAGTCTAATAATAAAGGATTATTAGAGCAGTTAATGAAATATGGACCAATTAAAATTATTTTCACCTCAACAAAAGAGAAAAATGAGTATGAAGTATGTGTTCCTGGTGTTGAGTGGTGGAAAAGTCTGGTCATTGAACCCTCTTGAAAAGAAGTGTCCTTCTCCCTTGAAATGGAAAGGGGGCTTTTGGAGGGATAATCTCAGAAACGTGTCCTGGAGGTGCAGAGAGATGCTTTGGGAGGAAGTCCAACCCTGACCCAGAGGAAAGGACCTGAATCTGCTGAGCAGAGGGAGGCCACATCCTGTGCATTTAGAAGCCAGTATTTCCTAGGTCATGAAATCAACCACCTAGAAAAAGGGTCTGGCTCACTTTCTCTCCAGATGTGTATATCCTTCATTATTTCTAGTAGCCAGTATCTAATACCAGTGAATGAGCACTTTCCTCAATATTGATCTCACCCATTCAGCTCAGGTTCTCGGCAGAAAGTAAAGAAAAACTTAGGGAACACGTGAAAATCCAGGAAAGACCAGTGATCTGGGAACAGCCCAGTACAGCTGCATAGTACATCTCATCGAACAGCATTGATTTAGGTTCTCAAGGCTGCCAGAGGACCCTCGGGGAGGGAAATGGCTGGCTTTCCAGAAGCAGCACCGTGACTAGAAGGTGGATAGACTTCTGTTGTAGCCTCAAAAGCATGAGGCAGATGAAATGTTCTCCAAGAACAAGAGTCTGCCCCGAGATTCTGTTTGTAACAGCTTTATGTCCTCTATCAGAGGAAACCGTTCCCATTTTAGACCCATTAGCCAGTTAATTTTGTTTTGTGCAATGCTACTGGTGGGTAGGAAAAAAATGTGAACATGTGGTGACATGTGTTTCTTGTGCATCTCTTTGCTCCCACGTCAGTGGCTGTCATCAGATAGAAGCAAGGTGTAAGGTAGGGGGACTCCATCTCCAGGTCACAAGGTGACTGGGCTGCAGGGTGGGGCCATGGAGTTGGCAACTGCGATGCTGTTTTGGAGCGGCCTATTGGGTGTGGGTGCCTGGGGCTGGAGGCAGTGTGGATGGCACAAGACCTCTGCTCTGTGTCTTCTCAAGTTTCGTCCTCTGCCTTCAATCTTGTAGAATACGTTGTTGACTTTAATTCTACTTTGTGGATAAAGAGCAGTAAGTCGTGGAATGGCAAAGAGCCTTAGGTAGCACAAAACAACGAGACAGGGTTGTCACAGAATCTCCCAAGGCTGGGTCTAGGCCAGTAGAGATTTAGAAAGCCTTTGCCATAAGTGCTTTGGTTACAAACCCAGCTAGCTTCTTGCCCTGTCCCCAAATTGATGGGTGTATAGATAAATATCACTAAGATAGAGTAGTGGAATCAGGATTTTTAAAAAACCTATAAGCATTTATCAAAGCAGCAAAATATTAATATCTAGGAACCATGTACAAAAGTTTCAGTCACTGGTTTGCATAATAAAAAATACTTTACAAATGCAAGGGTTTTTTGTTTTTTCACCCACCATCAGCAGTATTGTTATAGAAAAAAACCACAGTTAAAACCTGCATGCCAAAGCTTTCTGCAAAAATCTACTTCCAAACCTATGGCTAAAAAGTTTGCATTTATATTTTTTTCATGGAGAGTCTCTTTAAGGTTTAATTAGTCATTGTGTCTATGCATGAATCATTCATAATCTGGATTTGCCCCCAGCCCATGGCAGTTAGAATCAGATGAATAGAAATAATGTTACCAAGCAAAATGTAAAATGCTCTTCAGCCAATTATCATTGGTTGGCAGCATGTTTTATGGAGATAAAAGTTGATTGGCAGCTGCTATAATTTTTGGCTTGTCTCCTTGTGTGTTAGGGAGAAAAGGAACAATATGGAAAGCACAAATCTCATGGGTCTTCTAAGCCAGTAGACATAGGGGGCGTGTGGCCTTCCGTTTACTTCCCTGTTCTCAAGGCAAGTTATGTAGCCCAGTCTCCAGCAGTTCCTCCTTTTTGTTTTTGGAATTGCAGCAGTTGAAACAGCTTGACTGAGGTTGAATGGCATCTAGGCATCGTCTGGGTCTGGCTTCCCCTGCAGCAGACTATAAATGAAAATGTGAGACAGAAACACATTAATAGAATCAAGCCAGTGTAAAAATCCAAAACTGATTTTAAGATAGTTCCATGGATTAAGCTGATCAAGAGTATCAGCAAATTTATCTTAGTCCTGAATTTCTTTATCAAAATTTTGAGTCTGCTGAGACATAGATAATACTTCTTTTTGCAGTGCCTCTGAATCAGTAGTTAC